TGTGTGTGTGTGTGTGTGCACGTGTTCGTGTGCGTGCGCTGACCTTGAGGTCGCAGGTGGTGTTGATGAGCAGGTTGGAGGGCTTGAGGTCACGGTGCAACACGTTGGCTGAGTGAATGTACTTGAGGCCTCGCAGGATCTGGTAGAGGAAATAGCAGACGTGGTCGTTGCTCAGCCTCTGGCTCTTCAGCAGCTTGTACAGGTCCGTCTCCATCAGAGTCTGCACAATGTAGCTGGAGGGACGCACGGGGTCAAGGAGGACAACGACAGGGCCGACAGTATCCACTGACACCAGGAGAAACACAAAGGACTGCTCTGAAAGTGAGTTCAAACTTGTTCATGTTCGATGTGCGCTCTCTTGCACCAGCGGGGGGTAGCAGACATCAGTCCTCAAGGGGGAGATATAGAGCTAATTAGTGCTTCTCCATGACAACAGTATATACATTTTCTACATCCTGGATTGACGGACATGTTAGGCTAGAGCTAGGACGTTTGTCTCCTCAGTGTTGTTTAAATGTAAGACCACCTACCAGCTGAGCTACATACAGAGTGGAACCACTAACTGGTGTTTGAGTCCCTGGATTTGGTTTCATCTGCCCTAATCAGGATTCATCACAAGTTAGCGACAACACAATACGACAAAGTGGAGCAACTAAAGAGATCAAACAAGGAAACCAGACACAAACACAAGGACATCACACATTTTCTTTCCGTGTTTCAGCGGACAAAGCGGCTTTTCACAGAGAAAGCAGCAACTCAGCAGCAACTCACTGACCCGCCGTGCCTACAGTCTGTTGCTAGCTGCTCTGCAAATGGTCACTACTGTTGCTCAGGTTGATGTGTGTAAATGATAACAGCAGACATCTTCCAGATAAACTAGTCAGAATACTCAAATGATCATCCAGGTATGGTATATGTATAAAAACAGGTTCAACAGGTTTGCCTTGACATCACAGAGCGACATTCTTAACTTTAGAATAACATATTATTAATTATAATTACTTTAATTCCATCCATAGATATTAAACTACAGAAATCTCAATGTATAAACTGCAATTTAGAATAATTATCAGTAACCTCCAGCAATGCAAAACATGAACTGTTTATATTTAACATTCGTGCTTTTAGTTTAGCTCGTCTAGCCATAAATGTCAAAGGCAACATTATTGTCTTTAAGGATTTCTCCTTATTATTAATCGTTCCACTGAACTCTTGGGCAAGCAGCATTATTGAAGCTCTATGGCGAGAGTAAAGAGAGTGAAAGCTGGATTAATAACTCCTAGTTTATTTGTTTGGTTTAAACTCACCACAAGGACACTCTGCCTCAATCATTTTTAAGTCAGAGGCAGTCACAGCAGAATACTCAAAAGCAGACACCTAACATGAAGAAAGCTGCTGCAATAAAGTGACGGCACAGCCTTTTCCTACAGGTTATTGAATGCAACATGACCAGATGTGTAAATTAACACCTTGTGAGTGCAACACTTATAATTATTGTGTGTTTTTTCATCAAAGAACTTCAGAGGATTTGTGAAAAAAAATAACTTTTGTTTAAAAACCCTGATTTGGAGCGTGCACTACAGTATTACAGCAACTGCGCTGTGTTCTCTCTTCTCAGTAGTGGTGACCTGACACAACAAGTGAAATGCTTTTAACTGGCAAAAGCTACGGCTGGAAAACCTTTTTATGAAAATCAGTCTAATCCTGTATAATAGTTTGATTTAATCCAGGTCTGGGGAATAAATGAGACCCTTCCTGTGAAACATTAAAGGATACACATCCCTCATGCTGTCAATGTTCCGTGCCCTGAGAATGTCGTTGATGCCGATGATATTCTCATGGTGGAAACGCAGCAGGATCTTGATTTCTCTCAGCGTGCGCTGGCAGTACGTCTGGTGCTCAAATGGGCTGATTTTCTTGATGGCTACGCGCGAGTTTGTCATGTTGTCCAGAGCGGAGCTGGATAAAGTGGATGTGGAAAGAAGCACAAAACAAGTCTCATATTACACACTGCACAATTCACACACAATGACGGTATCAGAAACTGGGCTAATGCTGAGCTCCAAAAAGGGCGTTGCAGACTGCCGAGATGCACATGTGACACTTCTTTTTGCAGCAATATGTCGTGAAGTACTGTAGGTGTAGGCCGGAGTGTAGGTGCCGTGTCAGTGAGGTGTAGGTGTAGAGTAGATCGAGACCAGGCAGCGCTGAGAGCAGCTGTGAATGGTGTGTTTATGGGAGCCTTGGATCTACTGTAGTGTTTGGGGCCCAAATTATGAAACCCCATCAAACCCATGACTGATCGCTGATCGCCCTTTGTGGGGGAGAAAAATCCTCCAAGCTAGATGTGGTTTTTTTTTTTTTTTAAACACAAACAGGAACAACACGTTACATCACATCTTTCCTTTTAGTAAAAGCGTATTCTCTTATTGCACAACACACTGCATCAACTGGGCATGTTCACACGCTCCTGAACCTTCCTCAGTGGCTGAAACACAGCGACACAGCACTGGATGGATGCAGTGGTTGAAATCACATCTGTAAGAAAACATCTGTGCAGCTGGTTAATGACGAGCTGGTGTAAATCACACAATTAAACTCACAATTGCTTTTATTGCACTCATCATGTTTACAAACACCAAACGCTGCAACAATGCAGTCACATGACCCAGAAGACACAAACAGAACAGCACTGGGCTGTCACACTGCTGTTTGCAAACGGAAGGGATTGAAATGGATGTGTGGGCCCGGCTCTCACACTATGATCCACTTTGCACTGACACGCAGGACTGTCACATCTGATCGCGTCCACTGTTCAGCCTCGATGGCAATGACTAGGCATTGATGTCAAGTGCAACAGGGTTGTTCAACACGTCCACACAATGCTGTAGATCACATACAGCGATAACACGAGGAAAGGCCTCGCTACAACTCACACATCCCTCTCTTATTCTCTGCTGCAGGCTCACTGTTCGGCCATCAGCGTTCATGTAGAGATTAGTGAGACAGGGAGGTTGATGCTGGACGTGTAAAACGGCGAAAGAGACAGGGAGCTACAATTTGCGGTCAAATGCAGTCTGCAAAAGATTTGTGATCGGAGAACAAACAGCGCCCTGCGCAATCACTCCCGATCTGGTTTCCTGTAAAGCTCATAGCCACGCCTGTAGCTCCGTCAGCTAACCTGCTAACCACAACATGGACCGAGCCTCAACAATGTCTAAAAATGTCGCGCTGCTGTTTTAATTACAAAACATCGTGACTGCGCTCACACTCACTGCCCGCCGCCTGTCCAACACGGCAGCTACGGTTAGCTGGATACTCGTATTTGCTAATAAACAGCTCACGTTAGCTAGCACTTCCAACACAGAGACGATGGCCCGACAGACAGACAGACCGACAGACAGGCACAACTCACCAGACCATCCCGTAAGCCCCTTCCCCGATGTAAGACAGGTTCGTGTAGCGGGGCCCCACATCAAACATCTGGCCCTTCACCGACTCGCACCCGGTCTTGGGTCCGGGTGCTGGCGCTCCTTCCTGCGCAACCGTGCCCGCCGCCCCGGCAGCAGCAGCGCTGTTGGAGCCTGCGGCCCCGACCGCTGCGGTGCTGCTCGAATCCGCCATTCTTCCTCTCCGGACCGCTCCTGCTCTGTCAGTGTGTGTCAGCGAGGGACCGCCGCCGCTCTCTGCAAGCTTTAACGTGAGTCCGAGGCTTGAACCGAGCGGATTGTGTGGTTCACGGAGCAGAGCGACTCGATCACGGCCCTCTCTACTACCGAGGAGTAAATAGATTTAGTGCACGAGCGCGGATTTGGTCTCAGCACCGAGCGTAAATGCGCGTGCCAAACTACGGCAGCACAGGTGCGTTAGATATGTCCGCCGGGGTGACTTGTGTGGGCGGAGTCGCGTCAGTTGACTACAGGCACCGCCCAGTCCTCTCCACTGTGACAGCGAAACAAGCGCAGTCTGTCGAATAAACATGCAGCAAGTGGGCGTGACGAAATATGTTGCATGCTGCCTGTTGTGACGGAAATAAAACACTTTATGATCAAATTGTTATTTTATCGTTATTTTCATGTGGTTACCCCCCTCTGTCTGCCCCGAGTGTTGTCTTATAAATGGCTGTGTACGCTTTGTGGCGCTCACTAACGTTATGTTCGCACTGTGCCCACAGGTGAGGCCTTTCTGTACTTTACTCTTATATCACGATTAACGTTATAAAAAGACGAGGGATTAAACAAAGCGCCACACGAGCTATTAATGTATTAAAACATAGGGAAATGTCAAATTAATATCAAAACGAACACATGAATCATTTGTGTTATTTTACAGATTCGCCAATCGCTGAAATCGTATCACCATGGAAACGAGTGCGACTGCTGTGGCCACACACGTTTGCAAACGTCACGGCGCGGGGCGGTGTACTTCCTGGTTACTTGGCGCTGCATGTTGTGGTTGTTGCTGTAACTCAGTTGATCGATTTCCCTCACGGAATGGTACATTACCTTCTGCGACGAGACTGGATCGGCCCACTTCGTCTGACGCTCACTCTCTTCGGACTGCCGTACACCGTCTGCCCCTCCGGAGTTAGGTAAGGACTGTAATGCTAGCTGTAAAATATTAACTACAAGCTATGGCCATGTTACGTTATATGACAGTTTCAGCTATAAGCTAAAACTACAACCCAGAAGCAGACGTAGGGATGTGCTGCAGTAGCTATTAATGTCGAAGCCATTGATCCCTGACACTGATAGCAGAGATAGTGTGATTGAAGTCAGTAATGCAGTAGACAACCTTTAGCTAACTGTTTTTGATGTAAATGTGCACTTTATTAAGTTTGATTTCCATTGAATTGAATATCACATGGGTAGGAAATGCAATATCAAACAAAATTCAACAAATAATCATTCAGAGTTAGGTCTTAAAGTGAACCATTATTAATGTAGTCAACAGATGTGTATTGCAGTGTAACAGTAGCTCTCACCCTGCGGTCACGATATGCTCTGGTGACAATCAATGAAGTTTGTTTTCCTCCTGAACATATGTGTTGTCAGTGTGTGACAGAGGATTTAGGCTGTGCATGTGAAGTAGGGCTGGGACCACGCTGCTGCAGGGAAGGCAGAGCGAGACTTACTGGATTTCCACGTCTCGTATTTCCCTCCTTGCAGACCAGCTGTCTCCTGCTCACTGTCCCATCCTTTGACCAGAACCAGTCATACCACCAGACCCATCAGTACCAGTTGCTGTAACCACTTTGTGACCAGTGTGTGGACAATGCCATCCTCAGCGGCGCCTCATGTCAAGTCCAGATGTCCCGAGTATCCAGGGTCCAAAATCAAGCGTTTCCCCGTGCCTGATGACAAGGTGCACTGGAGCCAGGACTGGCCGCAATATAATCCAGTCAGCTACACTGACCCAGCAGTATTACGGAAGCCAGCGTGGGCGGATCCTGATATTGGGTGAGCAACACATACCTGACTGCACTGAGTCAAGGTGTGTACTGTATGTTGAAGGAGCTATATAATTTGACTTATATAGTCCAAAATATTTGTTATTTGGCTGTTGTGAGACATTCTGACTGTTAAAGATCAGTTGTACTTTATTCATGGCAGTGTCGATGACTTCTGCTCTTTTCGCAGCTCCTTCTCTCCACAGTTCAACACTGTGGATGGTGCTGTGGACAGGACGAGCTTTGAGGGCAGCTACAAAACGGAAAAGGGGAAGCCCCTGTAAGTTATCAAGTACCGGGAGAAATGGTTCTTACAGAGTTTCCCTGAAGTGTACATAGCACCAGTCACTGTCAATGGGATTGGTTTGCTCAAAAACAGGTAGTTCACATGTGCATTTAGTCATTTCCAAGCTTTCAAGGGTAGAAAATAGACTCAAAGACAAAATGACCCTAACAAGAGTATATTAGCCAATGAATTTCCGCTAATGTGTTGGCAAACACTTTCCTAACTTCCTTCTTTAATTTAACATCTAGCTGTAGCTGCACAGAGCTGTTGTCCGGTATGATGATTCTCAGAAGGATCAGTAGTATAAGTAACTCTTTCACATTACCAGGATCTATTTCATGAAATGTTAATATCAAAGACAATACTTAATGAAGCTAATGCACAAACATGTCAGGATGACTGGTCCGGGAAGGCCTGTGAGCACTTCTTCTTGGTCTACAAAGCTCTATGTTTCTATGTTCTGTTATGTTCATTTTGAGCTTTTAAAGTAATACTATTAACACATTTTAAATAAATCCATTTGCAAATTTGCTTTTGACTCATTTAGAAATCCTCATGGACGCACAGGGTTGACTGGCAGAGGTTTACTGGGACGATGGGGACCCAATCACGCGGCAGATCCCATCGTCAGCAGGTAACTTTTTCTTTACTTTACAAATTGGTATTATCCAGATACTTACTAACAGTAGTTCATCAAATAAATTAAAAAAACACCCTCTCCTAGATGGAAAGTAGATGCGAAAGGAGCAAAGATGCATCACCCAGTCTCCAAGCTGCCTATCCTGCAGTTTGTGTCCATCAAGAGGAAAGACTGTGGGCAGTGGGCCATTCCTGGGGTCAGTTGCTTATACATTTCTTTTTCAAGCTTTATTGATGATGTGTGTTGTTATTTACTTTGTGTCTCCAGCTTGTGCTACCTTGCTTTTCATTCAGACACAGCTATTCAAGAATACTCAGGGACAACAAAAAAAAATCCACAGCTAAGACAGTTTGAGTGGTTTTGGGTATGTAAGATGTTTCTGTGACTTGCTTGTTCATTTGTGCGTGTGTGTGCTTGTTTTGTAGGGGATGGTAGATCCAGGGGAGCAGGTCTCTCTCACGCTGCAGCGGGAGTTCTCGGAAGAAGCATTGAACTCGTTGGCAGTCCCGCCATCAGAGAGAGCAAAAATCCACAAACGCATCACCAAACTCTTCAAATCGACAGGGTTTCAGGTCAGCAACTGACACCCGCTCACTTGTTTACTGTCACATTTTAGTCAACAAGTGCCTCTTTGAGCACAACTAACATCTCTTTTCTTCTTCAGGTCTTTAAAGGCTATGTGGATGATCCTAGAAACACTGACAATGCTTGGATGGAGACCGTCGCTGTCAACTACCACGATGATTCAGGTATCAGTAATTAGGAAGAATGATTATTTTTTCCTTTTTGTAGTTCTTAGGGACTATAATAAGTCCCCATTTTGTCTCTGGGGACAACAGATAGCGCGGTGTGTCGGATGGGTAATGACATATCTTTGTTGTCACTGCAGGCGACAGTGTGAGCGAGCTGCCGCTGCAAGCTGGCGATGACGCAGGACAGGTCCAGTGGGTTGATGTTGACTCGTCCTTCCCGCTCTATGCAAGTCATTCCGATTTCCTGGAGCTGGTTGCCAAAGAGAGGAAGGCCCACTGGTAACTAAGGATGAAAGACTCTATTCTGACATGACGATGAAGGAAACATTAAGAGACACATTGCTCTCTGTTTACTGACAGTGCACCTAACCAATGTGATTCTTCCTTCACTAATTTAAACATAATAATCATAGTTGTAATTATGAAAGCCTTATATGCACCTAGTTTGACACTTGTACGCATGTCCACTGTACAACATACAGCAATATGATGTTTTAGATTGATAAAGAAGAACTTATGAAGTGAATGAACTAACAGGTTGAAAGCTTGGCTGCAGTTTTCGTGAATAAAGCTTTTGACTCGCTGCTTGGACAAAGCTCAACATGAGACCATTTTATAGTCTCGTGTTGAGCTTTGTCCAAGACGCTGCTGAATGGCACACCACGTTATTCCTGCTGGCACAAATTATGCTAATGTATTCAATGTTAACAAGATCACATTAACCCACTGTGATCATGTGAGAACAGACACAATGAGCTGCTGATCATAACACGTACTACATTAATTTAAGAGTGAATGGGGGGGCGGGGGGCTACCAAAATGAAAAAGTGTAGACTCACTTTGATCTTTACATGCGAGTATAATATTAAGATGTCCTGGAGCTTCCCACACAGCCCACTGAATCAGAGCACAGACAGGCTGAAGCTAGAGGACGAACATGTTTTCAAGTGGTAACAGACGGTGGAAGCAAAGGCCATTTCACACTCAACAGCCTGCCTTACGAAACACATCAGTACGTGTCATCTCACTGCTGGGCATACTTTGTGATGAAGCAGGGATGGAGGGTTACACATGAGATAGTTTGTATCTGTTAGGATTCATGATGCAAACACTAACACATGGACGCTTCTATCATCAAGGAAAACTTAGTTGAATTAGGTTCACAACAGGTCTAGGAGGCGCCACAAATACTATCAGGCCTTTTTTATTTGCCTGCATGACATGAAATTGTATTAAGGTATGATACCAGTAGCTGTGTGTGGTGAGGATTTACTGTTCCCAGTTCTCCCAGCTCCACTAGAGCATTTATAGTAGGAGCACTAATATAATTTATTGTTGCAGGAAGGGAGAGTATTTCCCATCCACATTTCAGTCAGTTTCACAAAACCATCTAACCTTTGCCTCCAGAGTTCTTATTAACGAGTGATATTGGCTTGTGATTATTGTAAGACAAAAATGAGTAGATGGTAGAATGAGACACTTCGAGAAGTGAAACAAATTTGGTTTCAATATTATTATTGATGTTACACATGCAGCTTTGCTGATTGGATTGTCTCTGTATGCTATAATGTGAAAATGAACCCGGAGGTGTCCACTTACTAATCTTGCACTGAATTTCCGTTTTTGAGTTGATTTGTGCATTTTCCCCTCATACAATATGTGTATTCAGAAATGATTACGCAAAGCTGTAGATGTATAAAGTACTACAAAACCAATAAA